TTAAACTTAAATGTACAACTTTTTCTTACATCATAATTTTGTAGTAGAAGTAGATGTGTGTCAAACAAATAGCATAGCATACTTCATTGTTTATTTGCAGTTGTCCACTCTTTATATCTTCATGATACTTTATGAAGATATAAAGAGTGGACAACTACTGAACTACATAGTACCAAGCAATAAGGTTTGGCCTAGCTATTGGTAATGTTTGATCTCGTGACTTGAAAGTCATGGGATTCGATTTCATTAGGGGCTCTTTAAATAATAAGTCTGACTTATAAAATTGAATTAACATTTATTATTGTCCGTTCACTTGTAAAGTCAATTATCATTAATCTAGGTGTCCGTTCAATATATATGATGCTTCTCTTTAAAGAATTCAAAATTCTAAAATATATATTAATCTTAAATGTCTATTAGTCAATCAATATAACAACATAACAACACATTTGTTTACTTGTTCATTTTGCTATCTAGTTTTTCACTTGAGAGATTATATAGGGGGTTATTTGAAATAATAATGTATTGTAACAACGAGCTTAATTAATCATTCCACGTTACATAGAAGTCAAAAAATTTGTGAAATACACTTTGAAGATAAGATTATGCTTGTATTTTTGTAGTGGATTTAAAGTGGTTAAACATGTTGTATACACTACAACTTTTTAAAAAAGCAAAATTTTGTACTTCTTTCGTGCTCAAATTTTACAAGTTTTATGCATAGAATGTTACCACAGTTGCAATTTTTTTGCTACACTATAACTTAAATGGAAAAATCTTAGTTAATAACTCCAATTACCAATCTTTGGGATCTTGATGATAGAGAATAATAGATAAGAATTAGGGAATGCTTGAAGGCATATATTATTGTTAGAATCTAGGAATCCAATGCTAAGCATGAACCCAAATTCGAACAAATTAACACCTCGTTAAATGGATAAATATTCTGATTTAGGGAAACGACAGAAGATGCATCAAAATATGTCAATTTGCACTCCCTTAATTAATTACAAAATTACATAAATACACTCAATAGTAGTAATTAATACTGTAATTCTTAATTAAATTGCGTAGGACGGCAATTGCATGACAACGATGGTCGTGCTTATTACTCACTCCGATACAATTATACTACAAATAATGTGTCAAAACTGTCACATCATATTTGGAATGATTTTTTATTGATTGGACATGAATAAACGAAATTAGGAGACAAGTAAATGAGGAGTGTTTTTGTTTGTGATTTTTTGTTCTATCACTTCTATGTTACTCCATAATTTTCATGTAATAGTAATAAATTGAAATTATATTTACAATTAAAATAATATACAAGTTTATAAAATTATAATAATGGGCTATCTACAAATTTTTATATGTGGGTCACCAATAATTATTGGTTTGACCACTTCACATATAACTATATAATAAGTCAATTAGTTGAGTTATGAAATTTATGACGTTGATCAAATGAAATTATTTTGATGGATGGAGGTTACTCATATAGAAAATGTGGAAACTCTTAAAAAGAAATGGAACTATTCGATCTTTTAATTCAAAACAAAAGAAGAGAGATTAACGAATGAATAAATGAGATAACTTTTTGTTTAAGTAACTGATATTTATGATATGATAAAAGGAAAGTTAGAGTTACTCTTATGAATAAAATATGTTTTACTAATAGAATATATGAGGTTACTCGTATGAAGAGATATAGGTTATTCTTATAAACAAATGTGATCACACCATGTGACTGACTACCTATACTACAAGACTTGTTGTAGGTTATATGTTAGGCCAATCCTCCGTCGATGTAAATATAATGTCATATTATCATGTCGATCCTTGCTACGCCCTGACTCAGGCCCATACCGACTCACATGTTTAGAAGGTCATAATCATGGTGTACCCCATATGCTTAGTACCACACCTTATGTACATTTTATATCATCAGGCAAGTAAATTGAGACGAAAGGAGTTCCTATAACCTGGCCGATGCAGCATATAAAATCAATCCTTCCAAGATATTCAATGAATTAAGAGAGCAATGCAAAGGAAGGAATATAAAGAAGTGAATAAGGACAAGAGAGTAATGGTTGTCCTAAGGTAGGGTACTATTGAGAAATTGCCAAAAAAGGGGCTCATAAATTACAAAAGTGAGAGAGAGAAAATATACTACGAGTAGAGTGTAGCATAGTAAAAAATAAAATAAAAATATATAAAAACTTTACTATATAAAACGACACAGCGCCCCCGACAAAGATTTTGGCAGTACGGACCATAACCATCCATGTATTCTTCCCCTAAAATATTACTCTTAAAATAATTTTATAAATAAATTAAATACTCTTTTGATTTAGTCATCAAATGCAGTATTATACTAATTATTATTCCATAATATTGTACTAATAAAAGGTGGTATGTAAGGGAGGCTCAAGATTTAAAAAATTTGTTTGCTTGTTGTTTTCACATTAATTAATATGACTCAAAATTCCTTCTAAAGGAATATATGTCGTGTTGGTATAACCAACCGATAACTATAATACGAGGAGAATGATTCTATTTTAATTTATGCATTTCTCACTTGTATTTTTATAGATTGCAAAATACTCTACCAGATGGGGTATTTGCTCTCTTTATTGTCAAATGTTCTTCTTATTTGAACGGTGATTATGTCACAAACAAGTTAAAAAATTTCTGGCTTTACAAGAATGATTAACATTTTACATATTTTTACTGTAACTAAGAGTAATCAATGTAAATATCAAATAATCCGATACAAAAAATATATACTATATTAAATAATTAATTTTTGGGGGAGATGGAGGGACGGTTTCCTCCTCTAATAAAATTACGTTAAAGTTTACTAACATGACAATATTTACAATCTACTAGTTTAAGGCCATGCATGCATGTTCAATTCAATCACACTAGCTAGTAGTTATAATCTTCTAGTGTAATTGTTAGTTAGCGGTTGAGGACTTGAGGTCGATGCAAGTTAGATTGCAAGTTATCAATGGTTTCCAAGGTCAATGCCGTCTTTTCACTTGAAGCTTGAAAAGACGGCATTGACCTTGGAAACCATTGATAAAAGACATAATTTTGAAGGAGATTTTAGTCATAATCTTGAGCATAGTATAACTATAAACCATGTAGATTAATTAGTTTAGAATGGAAAGTTTGTATTGTAGCCAAAGCATGAGCGGAGGTTATCAGTTAAGGAGTAAAACAATGAGTATGTATGTAATGTCTCTTGGAAATTGTATCATTCCCTTTTGTCATCATCTCAAGACCTAAGATAGATTATACATGACCAAACAATTTTGACTCCCTTGAAATAATAAGCAAATTACTTCATTGTTTTCACTGATTCACGGGGTCTTGGTTCGTTTTCTCTAGGGGTGAGCAAATATTCCGGGTATTCAGAATTGGAATCGAAACCGGTTAGAAACTGGCGAGTTCGGAAACGAAATTGGACCCAGTGGTTCTAATTCGGGTAATAAATTAAGGATCCAGTTGTAACCGGTTTCAATTCCAATTCTCGATTTTTTGGACCTGGAATCGGTTGGGTACCCAGTTACCCAACATATGTTACACTAAATAAGTTTTTAAAAATAAAATTATGTTAAATGTATCTAGTTAGTAAAAAAATAAATATTAATACCTAACATAAATAAAATAGCTTAATGCATATATAAATACAAGTGTTCAACGCTAAAAATGAAAATAGAATAAAATATATAAGTATTATAATTTATAATATATTTTAACACTCTTTTTGTTTGGAAGATCATTCGTTCTTCACTCTCTTGCTTTTTTTTACCCGCGGGGAGCGCAACAACCAAGGATTATATACATAAGTGGGTACCCGAAACCGGAACCAGTACCCGATGGTTCCAATTCCAAGTCCTAAATTTTAGGACCCGGTTAAACCAATTCCGGTTCCGAATTTTAAGACCCGGTCCCAATCAATTCCAAATTCAGGTTCTAAAATTTTGACCGGGTACCCGGTTTGCTCACCCCTAGTACTCTTCACATGTTCAAGCTTTGTTCTTTCCTAGTATAATCTTGTTTAGGGGGACAAATTGGAGTTTATCACATATTCACATCAACATCCTTACAGAATTACTGTAAACGTCAGATATAATAGTTAGTTGACGTGCGTGAGGAGATTGTACCTAAGATTTAGAATTAAATTTTATTTATATCAATTTATTCTGATCTTGTGACTAATTACACTAAAAAAACTACTCCGTATAAATTTAAGCATATCAATTCATGGCTAATCACTGAATATAAGAAAGTAATGTTCATAATGATTGTAAAAAAAAAATTCGAAAGTAATGTTTACAATGAGATAAGAGTCCCTATATTTCCCTTTGCACCTAATTTGTTTTTTTTTTTTAAAAAAAAAAATCCTTAGATGATACAAATTTGTGTATGATATAATTTAGTTATATATATGAATTATTATTATTATTATTATTATTATTATTATTATTATTATTATTATATATAGTACAAAGTATAACAAATAAATACAGAGTAATAATTAGTATTTCGTATAACAAATACAAAAAACTAACATTTACTTGTATTACAAAAATTACTTTTGTTTAACGTATCTAAATTATAATCTTTAATTTTAGACAACAATTCCACCAAGGATAATACATCATACATAGCTAGAGTTTACTCTCATTGACTACATCAAAGTCACCTTTTAAATTTTCTTTCACCCCCTTCTTTTAATTTATGTCCTTTTTGATAGTATTTGACGAGAAATTCCTACCTCCTTACTATACTCCTTTTTCCACCAAACTTTTTCAATTTTTAATTTTTAGATGTTTCAACCCCACTTTTTTTAGATAAAGCAAAAGCCTAAAAAAAAATAAAAAAAGGGACAATTAGGGACTAGTCCCCTTCTCCTCTCTCACACCCCCCCCCCCTCCAAAGAAATTCTTTAGTTTGTATTTATAAAATAAGAAATTAAAAAAGAAAAACCCTTATATAATAACAAAGATATATAAAAAGAAACACAAATTCATTAAGAAATAAAGAAAGAGAGATAATTGAAACTCCATGATTCAAAAAACACACATGCCTTGGGTTTTGCTCCCTATTTAGCTTATATTACTACTATTTCTACTCACTTATTAATAAGCTAAATTAAAAGCAACCCAAATCAAATCCTCTTGAAAAGTTTCTACAAAAGCCCTCTCTTGGACCTTCAACCACCCAAAAACTCTAAAAAAAAGAGAGGATAGATAATAATGAATAGGGGCGTTTTGCAAAACTCTCCGGTGCAACAAATGATGGCAGCCGGAAATCCAAGCTGGTGGCCTAACATAAACAATTTGATGAGACCTCCCATTTTATCTTCTCATCATCATCAACCACTGCTTTCGTCGCCTTCTTCGTTCTTAGCTCCGCCTCTGAATAATAATAGTAACAACAACGATGAGAACAACAATAATAACAATAATGTTTTCCAAGCTCAATATAATATGAATTCCTCTTCTTCTTGGCTTGGTGATCATCCTAGCAACAACAACCATCATGAGCAGCATCATCATCATCAACTTCCTGAGTCTTGGAGCCAACTCCTCTTGTAATTATACTCACCTCTTTTTTTCTTTTTTCATTTTCTTTTTTTATTTTTTTTAATCGATCTATCTATCTATGTATATGTCTGTTTTCGTGTCTACCTTTTAATTTGTTCCTCCTACTATGATATGTAAATATACGCGCGCACACACATACACACATACAAATCCAAACTATAATCCCTTATATCTTTGAATGAGTGATTTATTATCTATGCATGTCTCAAGATTATTGTATAGTTCCCTAACTAGGTTTTCATTCATTCCTAATTTATTAGGGTAAGGTGATTTACATTTTTTTTTTCCTATTCATTTTTAATATTATTGTCTCTAGCTCTATAGATCCGATCTAGCCTTGATGAAATTTCAGTATATATAATTAATTCATAATACAAGTAACCTAATTATTAGATGTTTCAATTTAATTTAATTACTTATTAATATATACATATGTATTTGTGCAGGGGTGGAATTTTCTTAGAAGAAGAAGCAAAAAAAATGGAGACAAATAATTGGGAAGAACAAGTTGTGCTTCAACAACAACAAGCTAATCATCATCCTCATCTTGTAGATGTGAAGCAAGAAAGCTCAGTAAATAGTTATAATAGTAATAACAATAATAATAATAATAATGTTTATAATGATCAAGAATTTCAGCTAGTAGCAGCAGCTAAAGCAGCAAATTGGTCTCATCATCATGCTCAACTCAATAAAATTCCTGTTTCTTCTCCTCAATCTTGTGTTACCTCTTTTAGTACTAGTAGCAACAATAACACCACCACCAACAACAACTTGTTGGATTTCGCCTCGTCGATTTCTAGTGACAATCTTCATTCTAGACATCGTCCTCCTCCTCCTCCTGCCCCCGATCGCTCCACCGAGGTAAGAAAAAATAAATAAATAAATAAAATAATTCCATTATCATCTAATTTCTTGAATTTTTTTCTAGAAATTATTGGTTTACCTAGTTATATTTATTTTTTATTTTTTTTGGGTGCGAATTAGAGTCACTTGACAATTGATTAAATTTTAACATGCGTTGTTAATTAATTTAGGGTAATGCTATATATAGCCCTTAGGGCTACAAATAAGCATTTAATATCTTTCCTTTTTTGTTATAAGTTTAGGAATGCAATACAAAATCATGCGCAAATCAGTGTAATTAATGAATATATTTCATTAATACTTTTCCTCTTTTACCTTCTTATACATAGCCCTTATGGTTACGTAAATCATTTTTCATTAACTTATTATTATGTATACTCGTACATGAATTATAATTTCTTTAATTTATTTGGGCGTGTATAGTGTAACAGCAATGCTAGTGGTGGGGCGGTAGCGAAGAAAGCCAAGGTTCAACCTTCTACAACTCCATCGACTGCTTTCAAGGTAAATAAAATCTAGTTGTATGACAAAAAACAAGCAAGAATATAATTTTGGTTATCTCACTTTCACTGAATTTTTCTCCCTCCAAATCTTTTCTTCCTCGCAAAAACACAAGTATAAAGGCACAAAAACACATGTAAATACATACCTACTTTGTGTAACATCTCTTGTCTTTCTCATATGTCTTTTTTTTCCAAGGATGATTATTCTTTCTTTCTTAACCCTATCTATGTACCTCTCGTCTCTATTCTCGTCCATAGATGAAGATATAGCATTCGGGGGTAGATAATATCCAATTTTACCGTATTTTTTATTTAATAATTCTTGTTTGAGACGGTTGAATAATAACGTACCCTGCATAATACAGGGGTTACTTTCATAATTAACTTGTAAATAGAATGAGATTGTCTCATTCATACAAAATTAAGAAATTTGCCCTTTTTTTAATAACCCTTTTATTGAGTTATGTATCTTGAATTAATTAATTAATAATTCATGTATCAATTCAATGTTTATTCTAACTTTATTATATGTTTTTTTTTTTCAATATTGGAAAATCAGGTGAGGAAGGAGAAATTAGGAGATAGAATAACTGCCCTTCATCAGCTTGTCTCACCTTTTGGAAAGGTAATCCATGATTACACATCATCTACTATTATTAGTCAAGTATAATTAGTAATTAATAAGCACCATTATTATATATAGCTTTGAGTTAGCTAGCTAAATAAGCAAACTAACAATTATAACATGCAAACTTCTTTTTGTCCAGGCATCATAATAATAAAGTGTAACTTTTTTCTATACATGAAACCTTACTCAATTATATTCTTTCCAATTTTCGGCTTATTAATATGTTACACCTAAAACTCATTTGATTAATGTAGCATTAATTTGCAATTAAAATAAAACGGAACAAGTATTGTATAGAAGTATAATTCTCTTTTTGTAAATTAAAATTGCATGAATGAAAATATGAATCTTGTGATAAAAGTATAACTCTTTTTTTTTTTCTTCCTTTATTTTTTTCTACAGACTGACACAGCATCTGTCTTGTTAGAAGCCATTGGCTACATTAGATTCCTTCAGAGTCAAATTGAGGTAAGAATGGAGAAATTTATACATAAACTATGTACATTATACTTTATACTTTTTTAACTAAATTAATTAATAGATTATACTATTGTTTATTTTATTTATTAATTATGTAAACATACAAAAAAGTTGCATTTCTCAAAACATTCTTTTGGACATATGGTCATATAAAATTCCCCCCTCGAATTCTGCAGGCCCTCAGTCTTCCATACCTAAACACTGGAGCAGGAAACAAGATGCAGCCTCACCCTGTAAGAATCAATTCATTTAATTGCTATTCATTATTTTAAGAGACTTTATAGATTCGCGAATGTTAACTAGTTTAATTGCATAATTCACACCAAACTGAGAGTCGAAACTCTCTTTTGTATGAATTTGAACCAATGGCAGATCTATTAAGGGGCATGGGTGGCACTGGCCCTGTCAAAAATTAATTTTTTTTTAATTTTTTTTTATTTAGGTAAATGTTTAAATTTATAGGTTAAATACAATTTTAATGCAATAAATCATTAAATTAGCTATGTCATGCATAGTGGTAATGCATTGAGTTTGTGCTAAAAGTCTTAGGTTCAAGTCCTCATATAGGCATTTTATTTTTCAGTTTTATTTATTGCCCCTCCACACTAAATATTCTACATTCGCCATTTATTTGAACGGTTTTGTATCTTTTTATTTTAATCACCTTCAATTGACTCATAACATATCAAATTCGACCTAGTAATAGTCCCAAGTGACACCTACACGTATAACGGTATAATTAAGTCTCATGTCACTAGAATTTATGATGAAATTCGATTTCTGTTTAAAGTTGAGTTTGATTAAGTATTTATGTAATTAGAAAAAACTACTGAATTTCAAATTATATAATAAATAATAAAAATAAGAATACATCCATACAATAATTTTTTTATAAAATTTGATAATTTTCTTAGAAGATTAAAAAATAATGGTGTGATAATGCTTGAATTTGTAGATTCAAGGGGAGAGGAAGTGTATATTTCCTGAAGACCCTGGTCAGGTAAAGCTTTATTGGATCCATGACCCCTCTTTTTAAGGGCATGTACCAAACTTTGGGTTTTGAAAAATAATTGATTTTCAAAATAAAGCTGTCACTTTTTTCATTAACTTTATTTTGTTTTGTTATTCTTTTAAGAAACAAAATTTTAAAAATTACCAATGAAAAAATAAAAAGAAAGGAATTGGGTTTCCAAAAAATAAAAAATTTAGCAGCTTTCCTGAGATTATAAAAAAAGTTTAGCAATAAATTAAAGCAGTGATTATTGAAGAATAATGATCAAAGTTCCTTTATTATTATAATTGTATTTGACTCCTCTTAAAAAGCTGATTAGTGTAGAAGATGCTGATGCCTTTATTCATGTATGTTTCAATCTTTTGCTACAGCTCTTGAATGACAATTGCTTGAAGAGAAAAGGAGGTCCTGATCAGGTAACTATTACCTTTACATTTTAACAAGCACCCATGAGGAATCAAACTCGCTTTTACATTTTATCAAGTCTATCGGGGTACACTTAGAGTTAGGTGTACTCAATATAAACACTCGTTCTATTGGTAATTTAAATGTACCATAATAAAACATCGATTGGTACTTGTATGAAAAAAAAATAATATTAAGAACAGAGAATATGAAATAAGAAAAGTTAGGTGATTGGACAAATAACTTGTACCAAGTTTGAGTACTTACCAATCTATACATGTGATTGATTCCAATTAACTTACACAAGCTAAGTACTTCCTATAATTAATTTTTGTTTTGCCAGATTTTTGTAAAGGTGTATACAAAATATATCCTAAATCCGTGACAAATATTATCATACTATAATACCTTATAAGAAAATGAGTATGTGTATACTAATCTAAATTTCTTTTGATATAAATAGGATTCATATGAAGAGGCAAAGGACTTAAGGAGTAGAGGGCTATGTTTAGTTCCGGTGTCATGCACATTACATGTGGGAAGTGACAATGGAGCTGACTATTGGGCTCCGGCACTCGGCGGCGGTTTCAGGTAGACGGAATAGGGATCTAGTATGTGCATCAACGAACGGCACACCGAAGCTTCAATTGAAACGATATAACATCATTAGCAGTCAATCTGCCCCCAACAATATCTTCCTATATGAAGAAAACAAGGTTGATTGCTCCTGATGCTATGTTCTATTTCTCTTGTATTGCATTTAAGTGTGCTGTAAATTTAATTTAGATTTAAGATTTCAAGCTAGTGTTTTTAATCTAGTTTTAACAATAAGCTACTACTATTTTAATCAAGATTGCTCATTTTATTTTAGTATATTATTAATATTATCAATTTAGTTTTATGGTCTCTTTTATAATTGTGCAATACTCTATTATTGGGAACCAAATTAAATTTCCAAATCATTATTTGGGACTTTACCTAACCAAACTATACCACCGTATAATTATTGAGGTAAAATGATATTATTACTTAAGTTTTTTTTTTTTTTTTTTTTTTTTTTTGGAGAAAGCCGATTACTTAAGTATCTAGATCGACATTCTTGCTTATCTTTAAAAACAGCTCTAAAAATAAAAAAAAAATAAAAATAAAAAATCTTAAAAATACTAACTTATAATATCTATAAACTATGTACCAACAAGGTCGAACAAAATGCCGCAATAAAAAATAAGTTATTGTCTTGCATGTAAGGTTACAAAACTAATGATGAGATATTTGGGAAGATGAGCATTACTGCATTAGTGAATTTAACTGGCTTGCTAATTTTACACTTTATTATCTTAGGTTTCGCTTATGAGGAAAAGTCGCATCTTAACTCTGTTTATGATAACTAGATTAGTGCCCGTATGATGCACGATAGTAATATATCTTTTTTGCATAATTAATTTGTGAAATTATATAAAAATAAGGCAACTCATGTTGAATAAATAAATGCAATGCATATAAGAAAGATGAAATAATAAGGCAAATTTTTTTTAAAACTACAATTGACTAAAAAAATAAATTATTTTTGATTAGTTGTGTTGAAAATATTTAAAAATAGTATACATCATATTGCATTAATGATGCATGTTATTCCCAATAAAACTATCAATATTGATGTCGTATGACTTTTTATTAATGAATTAGTTTAGTTCAAAAAAAAAAAAAAAAAAACCTATACAATGTACTTCCAAAAAATAAGCTAAGTAGAATAATTATTTAAAAAAAAAAACTTAAAGTTGACATCATATATTATATTGGCGGGAAATTTTTTAATGATAGTTTGACATAGGTCCAATGATCGACGTAAGCATGACCACTTTTAATAATAGTTAATAGATTTTTTGGGGGAAAAAAAGTATAAGTTGGTAAAATAGAATTGTCTTTTTTTTTTTTTTTTTCATTGAACCCCACTATTGTACAACTATATAATGGTAATTTAAATGTTAATATTGTATTTTTGGCTCCAGAATTTATACTCTCCAATATATTTCAACCTTCTAAATTATAGCTTATTCTCACTTAATTAAAGATCTCAAAATCTTGTGTAACTATTTTAAGTTAATTAAACACGAAATAAAAAGGAATACAATTATTATAAAGATAATATATAAGATTAGGAATAATATACTATTATAGTTGTATTATATAAATATTCCAAAAATAAAAGATTTTTCCTAAAAAGAAAGGGAGAGTTTTAATTTGGAGGGAAAAAACAGTACCAAAAAGTGACATGTGTCATTCCTGGTGTCTATTTTAATATTATGTTATTGATTTAGACCCTATTTATTTTAAATTTTACCCTTAATTTTTTTATTTTTTTATAACAATATACAAAAAAACCTAATATTTTAATCATATGGATAATAGTAATTCAATATAGTACAATTTGAAACACATGTAAGGTTTTTATTTTTTATTTTTAGTACGTATTACTTCCTCCGTTCTTTTTTACGTGACCCGCTTTGACTTTTACACTATTCACCACCCCTCCTTTGACTGTCTTTTGTGAATAATATATAAGGAAAAACATATTCATGTGGGATATTTTTAAATTCGTCTCAATATATACTATCATAATATATAACTTTTATAATTTTAACTTATGAAAAATTTAAGTTATTAATCGTTAAAGTTTTGCATTGACAAACATGATAAAAGAAACAGGTCAAGAAACAAAAAACAGAGGAAGTATGTGTTGCTCTTATTTATATAAGGCTATTTGAAATAAAATTTTAAAAAATAAAATGCATAATCATGCCCGCATTCATAATGGATTATGATAGGTGCTGGCAATAACAACTATAAAATTGATACATAAATAATATTAGGGTCAATTGAGTGTCCACTTGCTAAGCCAATACAATGCATCAAATTGTAACAATAGATAGTCTTTCATTTCTATTTACCTCCTCCCCTTACTGACATCTAAATGAAAGAATTAAGGTATTCCCTGAATATGATCATCAGTGGTGAATGAAGTCCCATCTAAAAGGTGCTATCAAGTCACCGGTTGACTAAACTCTTTCTACTAATGTTGTTTTGTTTCTTTGTTTTTCCGGCTGTTATGTTGCCCCTACTTAAGTAAGGGGCGAATTTCTGATAGTTTTTCAATGTTATAATATAAGTTTTTTCTTTTTGATTTTAAAACATAAATAGTAATTCACTCTAATTGATGAAACTTTGCCCAAATAAAATTTAAACAAAATAGAAAAAAATACAAGATTAATACAATATATTGTTTAACAAAATTGCAGAGTAGTTGGCCAGGATACTTGATGATGACATGATTAACCATCCTCAAGTTGGATATTGAAGATAGTAGTTCAGACCAACATAATTTATAGTCAATTTGTTATAAATTTTATGATGTAATAGCTCGAGTATATAAATAGTTGTCATAACAACTTCTGTATTCATCTTTGATATAAACCTCTCCTGTTTTTCTCTCTTTTCTAAAAAGTTCAAATAAGTTGAGCTAAGGGTTGATTAATTCCGATGAGATCAGATAAGAGTCAATAAGTTCCAATAAGGTGTAATAACACCTTATATATGGTCCAATAAGATAAGATAAGATAAGATAAAGGTTGATAAATTTAAATAAGTTTAGATAAATTCAAATAAGATAAGTGTGGGATTAATAAGATAAGTGAAATTCAGGTGATGAAAACACATACTTAAAATTGATGGTGTGCAAAACAAATTATAGATTTATTGATTACAACATAACAGTGATGTTTACCATGAGAGGATTGGAAGTAGAAGAATGCTCTAAATCTCTAACAATGAGAGCAGACCAATCAGCTAATAAATAAGAATGGAAACTTATGCAAGAGTGCAAGACTTGAAACAAATTTGGAAAGGGAGAATATGACATTAGCACTGATAGTAATTTTAGATCGATAATATTGAAATAGATAAGAAAATGTATAGGTGAAGTCCTCATACTTCTTTCCTCAGACATTTTATTTAATGCTCCAGCACTTTATATGAATCTAACTTACAATGTGAATTAAAAGTATGGGAACAACAATGAAGAGAAAATCCACAGCCATTGACACCATGTAGGCACTGGAATACTTTGCAGTAGCCGAATCACCATCATCTTTCTTTGATGACCTCTGCGATTTAATGGAACCTGAGAAAAGATCAGTCTTCTAAGCATTTGCAACAAAGAGTAAGTAAATTCCACACATAATGGAATTTCTAAAGCATAAGAATGGACAAATTTGGATATACTTTTCATGTTGTTTACTAAGTAACCTCCTCACCCTTTGACAGGCAATAGTGCAATACAACAAAAAGAATGCGTCACACAATTTTTATATTGAGATAAACATACTCCCTAATTTAAAAGGAATATATAGCTGTAGTAGTGAACCTTGGTCAAAGATGGGAAAAATGAAGATAACAAAACTTCAGGAAAAAAAACACAAATCAATGCTGCAAGGTTGAACTTAACTATCATGAAATGTATACAGAACAGAAACAGGAAGTCACAAATATGGATAAGATAAGCCATATGATCTTTTAAAACTTCATATATCACATATGAGAGAAACAATAAGAGCTTGTATTGTGCAGAACTAAGACCAGTACATATAGTGACATCCCAATGACCCCATCCCAATGATCCCATCCATCCTAATACAGGAAAATTTACTATGAACTATCAGCATATGCTGGAGGACAAAATAATACATAAAATATCCTCATGTTATTTATCAAGTGACCAGGTTGAACCCACATCCTTGTTTAAGCTAAACCTCCGACTTCTGAAGATGAGAAAACGAACAAGATGGGGAAAAAGGACTTTATAATAGCTATGCTTTTGAAGTTGGAATTATCTACTTGAAGTTGGAATTATCTACTAAACCGTCAAGGGTTTAGAATAAATGCGATGATAACTCAGAAGAAAGCAGGAGAAATTTGTTAAGCTCGGTACCTAGGATAATTTTGGAAGTTTTAGTTCAAAGAAGGGTTCTGTCAATATAACTGGATCTAAGTGCTTGAAAATCCAAAGTTTCCTTCCAACCTAGCAGAGAGTATTTTAATTCCTATCTGACCATGTTCAACAACTAAAATCGGAAAGACAAATTTAGCATAATGTAGTGCCAAGAAAAGTTCTATAGACTGTGTTGTATACTTATGGAGCATAATCAACAGAGACAGCAATAGCCCAATACCTATAAACAGACTCCCACCCTTGGCAAGTAAAAAGATTCGGTTACATGAAGTTCTTTAATTGCAATGTCCCACATACCTTTACCCAATGAGCGAACCACAAGCATGGAATTAACTTCAACCATCTTCTCACAATCTCAACTATCATTTTTCACTCCCTAAATATCATATCAAAAAAAATCCAGAAAATTCTCCTGCATCATATGTTCCGATACCGAGTCGTAGTAACTAAATTCATTTCAACAGTATAACAGAAACCCTAAATTGTTCTATTCATTGACACAACAATAATCCTTATTATTGCACAATAGAATTCAAATATTTTACATAGAAATCAATCAGTAGCTAATTTTAACAGCTGCTGTAACACTTAAATAACATACCAGAAACGTAATTAAATCCAATTGCACGCCGAAGAAGCACAATAATCTGAGAATTAGTCAAAAAAAATGCAACAAATTCAATTAATTACTCCATTCCAAAGTGAAATCGAACAATAAGAAATCAACGAAGCAGAAATATTATAGAAAACTTACGGGAATCACGAATGAAATTGAGAAAATGTCGAGCAAAGATGATCCAGTTAAATTGCTAACAAAACTAAATTGATACAGACAATAATTTACAAATCAATCAATTCAGATTATTCAAGGTTGAAAACAAAGGAGGAGAGAGTAAGTTGAAGAAGAGGTTAACTGTTCTTTGAGATGCTTGTTATGGTTAAATGACATTGTTGAAGAGAAATCCTCCATTGTTGATGTTGAAAGGAAATGCTACTGTTCTTCAAGTTTCTGCACTTTCTTTTGGTAGTTGTATGACGAGAAATTCCCATATGAAAATGTATACAAGTATTACTCATGTTCGAGTAACGAGGAGAATGTGGTTGTACTTGTACACTTGTCCTCGGTATCGAGAGGGAGTCCACTTTACGAGTATTAGAATATTTATTGTTCTATCTCAAAATTACTTAGTATATGGCAAAAGGAAGAATTTTCCTTATAACACCTTATATGCGCTTAACTCTATCATTTCTTTTTAACGTGGAATACTTAGATGTGTTGTTTAAAAAGGATAGGATTCAACTATATTAGTATACTTTTACGGAGTATTAAGTATACTAATACAGTTTTTTTTACAAAAATATATCCTTAATGCAATATACACGTAAAAGTATGACAATGAGAAATGCACTTTACATATACAAGTACAAAATGCAATATGTAACTCTAAAAAAGATATCCAAATTTCAAAAAAAATAAAATGTAGTACTTTGTATTTCTGTGTGATATATATTGCTATTTTATGTAGCAAAACATGCAAATCTTCTACACAATTGATAAAATTGATTATACAAATATAATCTAAGCCTACAATATAATCTTAAACTAATTAAGTGGCCAAAACTTGAAAGTAGACCAGAGAAACATATAAAAGGAATGGTTATAATGGAGATAAATGGAATGGTGTAGAAAATATAGATTGTTATACGTTGTTAGCTACTTGTGCAAAATCAGAAATTTCTCCAAAAACTTGATGCTTTCTTGGCGGTATGCTTGTATAATCTCCAATTGCAGTACAACTTAATGTAACAAAATGCCTGTTTGTGATGGTTTCTTTGATATGCTTCGGTAATCTTAACGTATATTTATAGTCATCCTCTTTAGTCCTATTCCTGTATATTGAATGTCCGGTAGAATGTGATCTTGGAAACTTTTCACTTATGATCGGAACTTCTCCATTTCCCTTACCATCGAACAATATCCCTTCATCAATAGGCTCATCATCCTCCTTAATCACAATGCTAATCGCGTCATCATTATTCCTGGGATCATTTCCATCGACAATTTCATCTACATTATTGTTTCCGGTACTAGTTCTTGTACTCTCTATGTTGGGAAGCCTCTCGGGTGATTGCCTCGTGTCTAAGGCATCAAGGTTTCTCCGACAAACCGGACATGATTTATGAGACTCAAACCACAAATCGATACACTCTTGATGGAAGACATGGCAACAAGTCGTCAAGAGTCTAAGGACATCATCATCATCAAACTCGCACAAGCATATAGCACATTCAAGGCCGTACTTGTCACGTCGATAATCTTTTACACTTGAATATGTAAATGTTGGAAATGAGTTTACAATGCTTAAGTCTAGGCCAGGAGGAGTAAGGCTAGTTGGATTAATAGGGGTTCCACTAGGAGTTTGCCTATTATTCAAAGAATTAACTATATTTTCTAGAAAACATCTACAAAAATATATGGAAAAGAAACCTACAAAGAACATGACTAATAGAAGTATGGTTAACACGAGTGTAACGGGTGGAGTAGGGTCTTGAGGAAATGGTGGTTCGGGAATAGGCGCATCCGACGTCGACATCGGCGTATTGATGATCAAAGGGTTTGATTATTGGCCGGAAATTTATTACTCCGGCCTCAACTTTTTGCATTTGAAATTTTTTGATTTAGGATAACTAAAAAACCATATTCTACCTTGATTGAAATTTTATTTTTTCTTTTGTGAGGGTTGTTTTGAGAAAAAAGAGAACTTGTAGAGCAAATATGCATGAGATTAGAGCGTGGGTTCCTTAAATAAAGGTTTGACATGTAATTGAAGTTGAAGTGTGTAAGAGCTATTACCTACCATTTGTGTTGAGCGAGTCCTTGTGAGAAGAACTAGGAAATTTGTTGAGGAGGTTTTAATTCATAAACATGGATTTATAATATAAGAATAATGACATTTTTATCAAGAGATTAGTGGTTAATAAAATCTATTTTCTCATAAAAACTTTATCACGATAATATTTAGAAATTTTGGTAATTTCGTAATTTAACTCAATATATGTAATTGAATTTCAAATTTTTAATATATTTGTTTTTTATGAATAAAAAGGTAAAAAACTATCCATTACTACAAATTAATGTTGAAAGCTCGAATGTAATTGTTTATTTTGTTGTTAATGTTGATAAATTTATGGGGAAAAAATTTTGAATTCTCGTATATAATTGATAAAGTTCCAATTTTTTTTTTTTCTTTTTTTGAATTATAAAGTTACAATTTAACAAGAAGATAATTGAAGATGGATTTTTTTTTTATTTGAACAACATATCTTTTATACATAAATGTCCTTTTTTTAAATGTTAGGGTTATGAGTGTATAACTGAAGAAAATAAAAAATATTATTAGGAATATAAGTGTTTGGGTCCAATTTAGTCCAATTGGGCCTAGTCACTGAATGATCCAATTAAAAGCCCAAGGTCGAGGTTCAATTCTCCAATTGTGCTAAAGTCAAAGATCAGTCCTCAAGGCAAGCCAATTGGGCTAAGGCCCAATTTCTCCATATATGCAAAGGTATAAAAGCCATCAATATAACATTTGTACATTCATTCAAGCAAAGCCTCAAGCAATTAATTCTCTTGCATAGTGTTCTCTTTCCACACACTGTACTGACTTTAGCATCGGAGGGGCCTTCCTCGGCAACACCCCCGAGGCTAGTTTACGTGTGTTTATTGTGCAGGAAACCTTCGGCCCAACATCACTTGGACCGAATCCAGTCTTCTCCACTCCATCGGACCTTCGACAAGGTCCCATTGTTTTCACCCGAAACAATTTGGCGCCGTCTGTGGGGACGACTTTCAAAAATCTTTAAGCCAAGTTTCTAACCAAAATCATCTTGCAATTATCTTAGTAGCAATGGCTAAGAACCGCAAGAGCAAAGACATCCGTCAAGGAGCAGGCGAAAAGCCTAAAACCCCTACACCATCACCCTCACCGGACCAGAACTCTCCCAAGGGTGCCAGCTCGGGGGGAGGATCATACGGGGAGGATTCCCTTTCTCCCGTAATTCGTAACTCTCATCATAGGCCGAGTCACTCTCGGTCTAGCAGGGGTCAGTCCGATCATAGGACACATTCAGTGCCCCAAAGCCAACCATCGACTGTGCGCTCTCATTCCCATACTCGGCCGAGGACCCCTTTGACGGGGCCCAGCTCGGAGGAGGTGGCAAGAGCGCTGGCAGTGCTCATGGAGGCAATGAGGGCACAAAATATGCCACCACCTCGTGATCGAACTCCTCCGCATACCCGGCATCAACGGAGGAAGCTAGACCATGATGGTGGGAAGCTTCCTTCCTTCCGGGAACTGGAAGAGTGGGAAGAGGATACCTGGAAAACTGAAAAAGAGAGGAAAAAGAACCCTCAATTTTTCAAAGGATCCTCAACCTCCCGACCAGAAACGCATAAGAGCAGCAGCTCAGCTTCTCGGCCAGAATCTACTCACCGAGAACAACCTGAGACTGTTCGCCGAAGCGTCCTCGACCGACTCGGCGGCGAGGAACCGAGCGTGCACAGTCGCCTCTCGTTCCCTGCGGCCGAGGCCCAGACTTCCCAGCCAGGGACGAAAACCACTCCTACCTCTCTAAGAGGGCGGAGCGCGGTCCCTCCGGCCAGGAACAAGGGCAAGGCCGTTATGCTACCCGCCAGTTCGCCATTCGAGCAATGGATACTGGAAGAGCACGTGCCCACGGTTAAAATACCGTCGCACATCACATATGACGGGACCTCGGATTCGAAGGACCACGTGGCCTCGTATGAGAATCATATGCATCTTTGCCCCAGATCCGAAGCGACTTGGTGCAAATATTTCCCAACCACTCTCAAGGGGGTCGCGCAAGCGTGGATCTCCAAGGGAGTAAAGCAAGGCTCCATAACAGGGTGGGATGATCTGTCCTCCAAATTTAGGAGCAAGTTTTCCACGGCAAACCGCCGAGAGAAGACTACTGCAGAACTCATGAGTCTGCAACAGGGGGAAACCGAAAGCCTCTGAGACTATCTGACCCGTTTCAGCAACGAGTCATCCAGCGTCTCTCAGCTGGACCAGGGGCTAGCCGTTTTTGCAATGCAGAATGGCCTTCAGCCCGGGAAGTTCCTAGACTTCATGGTCATGCATACCCCGCAGACCTTAGAGGAGGCTCTGAATGCCTCGGATAAATTTATCCGAGCCGAAGAATGGAACAAAGAGAAAACCCAACCTCAATTCGGGGGAGGAAAACAAAAACAAATACCCTTGTCTGAAGGCCAAGGCCATAAGTCAAAGGGAAAGTCAAAGGCCTCGGAGCTATCCTCGGCCAGCGACCCAAAGAAGGAAAAATCTGCCTCATACACAGGCAGATACGAGTCCTACACTCCGCTCTCTCTTCCACACGCCAAAATTTACAGCGTGACGAAGGAGGAGCAGAGTTACCGAAAGCTGAGACCACTCCCAGAGTGGTATCAGCGAAAAAATAAAAATCAGTGGTGCGAGTTCCACAAATCTCCGGGACACAACACTGAGGAGTGTATCCAACTGAAGGACCAGATAGAGGACATGGTCCGGAAGGGATACTTGAAAAAATACATCGCGGATCACCGCGAGAAAAAAGAGTCCGAGAAGTCAGCAAAGGACTCTCGGCAAGACCTCGACTTCCCCCGGAAGAACAGTAAAAAGCCAGAGGGGAAATTCTCTCCGATCAATGTTATCTCGGGAGGAATATGCTCTCGGAGGGAGCACAAGCGACACCTTAGGGCTTTGACTCACCGGGTGAACAACGCTGACATTCAGTCTCCCCAATCGCCGGTGCCGAACATGACGTTCACAGCCGCCGACTGCCGGGGGGTAACGTTCCCTCACGAGGATCCGTTGGTGATCATCGCCACGGTGGCCAACCACGACGTCAGTAAGGTCCTTGTTGACGGTGGCAGCGGAGCAAACATTCTGTTCCGAAAGGCCTACAATCAAATCAAGCTGAAGCCCAAGCACCTTACGCTGGTACCCTACCCGGTATCCGGGTTCAATGGGGCTTCAACTTATCCAGATGGGAAGGTGACACTTCCTATCACCATCGGCTGCGATGAGGCAGCCAGGAACGTCATGA